CACACATGGTTCAGAACCAGGTTAGCTGGATTCCGGTCTCGGCGCCAATGCTTTCTGGGTGTGCAACCTTGAGCAAATAACTTAAAATCTCTGAGTTTTTATTTCCTCATCTGAAAATGGGACTGCTTTATGCATGACTGAGGTGGTCCAGCAGGTGAAACAATTTGGTATACGTGAAAACATCTAATAGAATGCCTGGAACCTAGTAAACTCTCCACAAAGGCTGGTTTCATCCCCTTGCCTGCTCTTCCCTTTTTCAAACACACCTCATCTACAAGCTAAGAACATTTCTATTTCTGGCAAACAAAGAAGTGACTCCTGGTTGTGGTTTGGCAACATTCCAAGTTGTCACCAATTATTTTCAGAAGTGTCACATCGTTCTCAAATTAAAATTAATTTTAATGTGAAGATTTTTAAATGCCGCCTTGGTAAAATGGCGGGTGTCACAAAATAAGATAATAATAACTGTAGCAGTTATCAAAAGGGTGGGAATCCCCACATCAAAACAAAAAGAGAAGTGGAAATTTGACATTTAAGAAAGAACCAGATAGGCTCTTCAAAACTGAGAACAAACTGCTATCACGGGTAAGCACAAGCAAGGACATGACTTATGCCGTAGTTTTTCATGCTAGTTAGGTAATTAAAGCCACAACACAGTAATTTCTATAATAAATTGTACATCGTCCTCGTCCATCATGGACAAAAGTACCACAATATAAAGAAAAGGTAATGGGAAAGGCAATTTTGTTTTAATAATAATATTAATAATAATAATTATATTCAGACATTTTAAGCATAAAGATAAAAGCTGTCTACATTTTCCAAGACTACATAAGAAACTCAGCCAATTACAATAATGGACCAAACATATCTATACTAAAAAAAGTCTCAGATTTCCAAATCCATTTGAATTGAATTTAGAAGCCATGTACAAATATGAATAGAAGTTTTACCTAACATCTTACTATCACGAATGAAAGGCAGAGTCAGAATTTAGTCATTATTGAGCATACGCACAACACAAATGGCCATTTTCAAATGATGCTTTGCATAGACTTTGGAAGTGAAAATTGTCAGTAGCTTGCTGGTTGTGGTGTTGTAGAGGCGGCAACGTGGGCATTGGTAATGCGACACCCACCACGGAACCTTGTGAATAATGATTAGCGCTTATTCTTTTAGGTGCCGGGACACAGAGGAAAAAAATAAACTAACAAAAACCCCTCTTCTCATAGAGTTTACGTATGAGTATGAAGATTTTTTTTAATAAGTGAATTAAAAATACGTTAGAAGGTAAAGGGGCCAATGAGAGTAAAAAGCAAGTGGGTACAATAGTGTATCTCTGTGATACACTTGGGAGATGACTGGGTTTTGAGAATTAGAAAGATCTTAACAGTGTTAATGGGTATCACTAAGGAGAAATTAGAGTGAACAGAAACTTTAATGGAGATTAGAGAGATTAAATGCAGATTATAACAAAGGAAAATTATAATAATAGAATCTTAAGGTTGTCAGGAGAGTTAGATCTTGTTTACAAAATCCTCTTTCTTCAGGTTAGGAAGCAGTAATCCTGCAGTTTAAGGAATAGAGAATAGGAATAAAATAGGAAAAGAAAAATCTTAAAACAATATTCATCCCTTTAGGTTAAAGCTTTTACCTATCCTGAGTACAAATATTTTCTTATGACCCAGAAACACGCATTGTGGTTTCACTGTACTGAAGACATTAAACAGATAAAAAACTGTACGGCGCAAGTGTATGGTTGTTGGCTATTTGGACCTCAGAGGGGATGCCATCCCTGACAGCAGATGAGTGAAAGTCTCTCTTAAATAAACTCACTACCCGGGCCCTGCAGGGCGAGGCTGGCCTGACTGGGGTCTGGACTGAAAGGACTGGCCTGAAATACCCAATCCTAGTCCCTCCCATTCCAGGGATCTGGAGGTGAGAACCCTGGCAGGGCCTCATCCATCATGCAGGCAAATGCTTCCCCCTGTGATCTTGAACCGAACAAAAATTTTAATAAGAATTTGCACTTCATCTGATGGTGAACAAGGAAATATCAGCCTGGAGGGCTCCTGATCACTGGCAGCCAACACCAGGAGCCAAGTCTTGAATAAACAAGAAGAGATCTGTTTTTAGAAAGTGGAACCCCAGTTTTCATTTGTTGTTCACAATGCGGTGCTGACTCTGTGACTTCCAAGGACCTTCTGGACTTAAAAGTCATCATAACCTCAGCACGTTATCTTGTTTCCTAAGGTCTATTTGTCCCAGGGGACAAAATTGGAACACTCATATGTCATGAGTTTTGCCCCTTGTTCCCAGCTTTGGTGGCTTTGCCTTCATTTGGCAGGGACAGATAAAAGAAATACTCATAGGTTACTGGAATCTAACGCAAGGGCTGAAAGCCAGTTTGTCAAGAATATATCAGCACCCTGAGTCTGTAGCAGGAGCTTAAATAGCAGCAAATTCCCCATTGTGTAATAAATAGGACAGAAGAGACCGTGGAGAGGATAAAAATACTAGTTTCCTGAGTTGTATCATAATAAATAAAATAACAATTTTAGCAATGATAATGATACAGCAAGTTTTGCTTTGAAGATAACTACTATAGGATTCTGGATTACAAATCTTTATAATCCCTAGTGCATTAATCACAAACCTTCTTTAGTCAGATTAGTGTATTTACAGGGAAACTTAACATTGTCCCAAATGTAACATTGAATAGCCTTTACTTTGGAGCAGTCTTGTGGAGCCTTTATCTAGTGATTAGATCGGTGCCAGAAAAGTTCAACCAGAAAATACTGCATTCACTTTGCTCTCAAAGAAGATGTGGTACATATACACACACAATAGTATTCCACTCAGCCACACAAAAAAATGAAATTTTGCTGCAACATAGATGAAACTGGAAGGCATTATGCAAAGTGAAACAAGTCAGACAGAGAAAGACAAATACTGTGTGATATCACTTACATGTGGAATCTAAAAAATACAATAAATTTGTGAAAATAACAAAAAAGAAGTGGACTCAGATATAGAGAACAAACTAGAGGTTACCAATGGGGAGAGGGGTGAGGGGAGGGGTAACATGGAAGCAGGGGATTAAGAGGTTCAAACTGTTAGGTATGAAATAAGCTACAAGGATGTACTGTCCAACACTGGAAATACAGCCAATATGTTATAATAAGTATAAATGGAGTAAAACCTTCAAAAATTGTGAATCATTTTATTGTATGCCTGTAACTTATACAATATTGTACGTCAGTTATAATTCAATTAAAAATAAAAATGAAACAAAAAAAACTTTTAAAAAGGGAGTTTTGAAACCTGCTGCTGAGCAGAATATGTACTGTTACCTTAACTTGGAGAAAGTCCAGGAAGGAGCACAGAAAATGATCAAAAGGATTGAAACTAGAGTCTAGAGGAGAGTTTAAAAGAAGGGAGCTGACTTTGCTTGGAGAAAGACGAGGATGCTGGGAGATAACAGTTATGAAGGCTTTGAAGGATACAAAGAGCTGCAACCTGCAGCCATCTATCCCTTCATGTATTCATTCACTCACCCAAAGCGCCATGCACTGTGCCAGGACCAGAGGGACATGGGGAAGGACAACAATCCCTGGCTTCAACATCCCTTTTCCATTGCCACTGACCAAAACTTGAACAAAAATGAGTGTAGGGTTGGACCCCACCAGGAAATAAGTCCGAAGGGAAGGGATTTGAGAAACTGAAATGTCTGCCGAGGCCAACGTAGACCTGGAAATAAATTAATTCCCACCTGCCCTTTGTTTACGAAAGCTACTGCTGGTTAAGTGGTAAAGTAATTTTCAAGGCTGATTAGGAGAATTTCCAAAAGAAAAAAAGATGATAACTTCAATTTTATGGTTTGGAATATACTATTAAAACCTTGTATGGTCAGTAGAAAGTAAGCAGCTCTTTTGTGGTTTCCGCTGTACTTCTCGGCCCTCCTCGACACTGTGTGAATCAGATCGGGGTCTTTTTGGGCCACAAAAGCAGCAGAAAAGGAAAGGCAATGGTGGCATCTCTCCCCAGTGTGGTTAACAAAATTCCCCTGCTGACCAAGTTTCCCATGAAAAGGGGGTGTACAAATTTGCTGCAGTCCGCTGGGTTATTAAGGCTTCAGCTCCTCTTGAGCTTGGTTCTTGGAATTGCCCAACTTTTGATTCACTGAGGATTATCATCAGTTAGGACATATAAAATTGTGATTCTATATCACAAATACCGAGGAATTCATTTGCTTACTTTATTTAAATAGTACAGGCAAATGAGTTGGCTAATTCAAATCCCAAGCTTGTGTGTTTGTTTCTTAACTTGAATTTTCTGGTTTGACTCTAAACACCCAAAAAGGAAATTTCAAACCTTTTCAGCCATACTTAAGTCCCATTTAAAAACTTATAAGAAACCAAGGCAGGAGAAACAGAATTTTATGATGAAATTACAGAATTGTTCAGGAGAGTTATTTCTAGTCAGTATTTTCTGTATTCAATGATCCTTGTGAAAATTTAAGTATAAATTTCATTTTAAAAAATGCTCAAAAACTGTTCAAAATGATCATATTTAGGTCTTCCCAGTATGCGAACTACCCACACTTAAACTTAATTAAGAATCGAAAAGCTGTTTTTTCCTTTGTTCTTTCTTTGTTCATTGTATATATCACTATAAAACAAACAGGCCATTTTAAAGAAATGTGTGCTTTTAATCAATCCATTGAATAACATGTAAAAAGAAAAAATCTATTTTGTACAAAACACATTGTTTTCTCCTAAAGTAATACTGAAATATATATAAACTGAAATATATATTTATGTATTTTATTAATATAGTATGCAGTGCAGTAACTGAGAAAATTGTTTCTGAACATATCCAATTGCATATTGTATTGCACAGAATTCAACAGAAGTGACCACTATTTAACTGAAATCTGCTTTGTCCCGCCTTTATCCTGAAATAATATCTCATAGGTCAAGTATCTGTTCGTAGCTTACCTGTCTCACTTCCAATCAAAGGCTGATTTGCAAAATGCTTGACAAAATCCTTCAAAGATGAGAATTCATTAAAGCCAAATTTAAATGAATATCCGGTGTATTCAACATGAAAGTGTTTGACAGAGTCTTTGGCTCTGAAAGGGACAAAAAAATGTTTAATGTTATTTAAGCAACGAATGTCTTTTTTGAAGGGAAATATAACCCTAGGCATTAGCATCAGCATTAAACCCTTCTAAAAACTGAGAGTTATGACAGAATCACTGAAACCATTGGCATTTAAAGCACAGCACACGCTTCTCAATTTTTCACTCCAATGAAAGACAGGAGACAGTCCTCCCTAGGTATTCCCTGACTCAGCAAACGAGTTCTTGAATATTAATCTCCTAAGGGGCATGAGCTTAAGAAAGGCAGGAAGAAAGCCCATAGAAATGGCAGGTCACATCCTCCCCCAGTTCTCCTCTGTGCTTGGTTCTTCTCCCTCACTTGTTTGAGAGTCAGTTCGAATTCAGTTTCTGTCAATCAGTTACGTCAGCCTAGCCCTTTCCTTCCTACGCCTATGCCACTGCCTACCGAATAAAATATCAAATTTCCTACATTGTCATTCTCCACCTCATTTTGGAAATAAGACAGAATATTAAATTTAAAAAAATGTCTATATACCTGATGTGACCCCACCCGATCTCTCTAGCCTCATTTCCGCTCTTCCTGTCTTGCACGGCAGGCCCTACCTTTAGCGAGCATCAGAAATCAGAATCGCCTGGAGGGCCCAAATTTCTGGGCTGTACCCCCTGAATTTCTGATTTGGTAGATCTGTGGCAGAGCCTGAGATTTGTATTCCTAACACATTCTCTGCTGATGCTACTGGTATGGGGACCACGTCTTGGGAACTGCTGTCGTTCAACCGGGGCTACTATTCTTTTATGAGTTTCTGCCTTTGTCCCTTGGCTTGTACAGTTCCCTTCACCTGCAATTTCTGCCATGTTTTTTCTGATCAGGTGTCAGTTCAAATGCCACTTACTCTGTCAAGGGTTGCATGGTACTTCCAGCTTGAGTTTCTTGCCTTTTCTCTTCTCAACAACCCAGGCACTTAGCTTACTTTCTTTACGTCATTTACAGCACGCTACTTTAGTATTCCCATATGGTCTTACTGCCCCTGCAAGGCTATACTTCCTGAAGACAGGTCTTTGAATCTTCTACAACACTTACTAAAGTGGTTGGCAGAGAGGATGCTCTGAAATATTTATTATTAGGAAAGTGAATGAACAAATGAATAAAAACAGTCATTCTCCTGAGCTGGTCTGTGGTTCTTCTCACCTTTTCTGGTGGTTATTATCTTTTAAAGCATTCCCAACTGCTTATAATAGAAATTAATGATTTATATTTAAAATCTTTGAATAGGGAAGGTGGTTATAGCTCAGTTGTAGAGCACATGCTTGGCATATACAAGGTCCTGGGTTCAATCCCCAGTACCTCCATTAAATTTTTTTTTATAGAGATATAATATATATGCTAAATCTTTGTAAGGAGCTTATGGTCTAACTGCTCAGATGAGAAAGACATAAGTGAAAAGTTAACATTCTTTGATACAATAATTATGCAGGTTTGTTTGAGATTTTAGGGGATCCATGCAATAAAGGATCAACAATCTAACCACTTAATGAAATTTTAACATTTGCTGTTGATCAGAGAAATCACAATTCCTGCTTCCACCCAAACAGAATTCCATTCTTGATTAATAATTTTCCCAAAAATGTTATTTAGAAAATGTATAAACAGCTCAGTGGTAGAGTGCACACTTAGTATGCACAAGGTCTTGGGTTCAATCCTTAGTACCTCCATTAAAGAAAGAAAGAGAGAAAAAGAGAGAGAGAGAAAGAGGAAGGGAGAGAGAGAGAGAAAATTTATAAACAAAATATAGTAGAGTAACATGAAAACTGTGTTTTTTCTCTGTGATCCATTACCCTCTTATTTACCCCATTACCTTCCCACCTATTTCTGCCACTCCCTTTAAAGTTGCCTGGAGACTTGCCCTGTTCCCTGGAATGGAAGCTATGTCAGACAAAATTCTAACATGGCCCCCATGATTCTCAGCCCCTGGAGCGACACACCTTCTCCCATTCATTCATTAAAATGCTAATGTGGATGCTGCTGTGAAAGAATTTTGTAGATAATTAAGGCTTTAAATCAGTTGACCTTAAAGGAGGGAAATTATTTGGATGCGCATGACCTAATTGCAAGAGGTTTGTAAAAGCTGAGAGTTTTCTCTGGCTGGTGGCAGGAGAAGAGATTACAGAGACACATTGGAGCTGGCCTGGAGGAAAGCAAACATCCATGTTGTGAACTCCCCACAGGGGCCACATGGCAAGGAACCTCCAGGAGCTGAGAGTGTCCAGGAAAATGGGGCACTCAGTCCTACAGCAGCAAGGGAAGAAATGAAAAGAAATAAAGAAGAGAGGAGGAAATGAAGGAAGAGGACCCTGAGCCCCAGTTAAGCCACAGCCTCAGCCAATACCTTTATGCCACCCTGGCCAGACCCCAAACAGAGAATCTCGCCACATTATGCCTGGGCTTCTGATGTACAGAAACTGTGAGATAATCAATTGCTGTTGTTCCTAGCCACTACGTTTTTCAGTAATTTCTTACGTATCATAAAAGACTAATACAGAATGCTCCAAGCCCAAAGACAATATAAGACAGTATGTTAGTTAAATATGTTAATTCTTGGCTTCTGAGGTTCATAGAAGCCTGCCATCAATTATTTACAGAAATATTTTTGTAGCCCATTTTCCCTACATCAAAGGGAAAGGAAATAAGAAAAAAAACCAAAACTATTGTTGAGCTGGATGGAAAAGAGAATTTAGAGAGGAGAGAATGTAGATGTCGCTACTGAGTTACAACAGGGAGACCTGAACCATGTAGAGCAGAAACGAAAAGAGAAAACCTTCTTATGCCCAATCATCATAAGGGACTGAAACATGAAGGGAACCTGTGACTTCCTTTCAAGGGTATATGGAGACACCATGGAAACAGTAATAAACAAAACAAAAAAAGAACAGTAATAAAACAAGAATGGTTTGACGCTAATGGCAATTTCATGGAGACATCACATCCCCATTCTGATCCTGGAGCAAATGCCTGTGAACCCAAAAAGACTTGCTATATGTCAGTGGAAGCCAAGGTGACAGATGCTGACTGATAACCAGTGACTTCTCCTGATTATCACATGGCCACATCACCTTCTCTGAAAGGTATGCCAGCCAGGAGGAAGGGGGTGGGAGAGAAACCCTGGAAGGGCTGGACAATCACTGTTTTGAGCTGGGCGTACCTGGGGGGGACTTGCTTAACTTTCTTAAGAGTCAGAGGAAATGGAGCTTTGAGAAAGGTTAGTCCGTTTATAGAAAAAAAAAGTTGCATACTGCTTGCTTGAATTTGTGATTATGAAAGTTGCACAGCCACACATCATTCTGATTTTCCAGAGGAAGCAAGGCATAATGAAAAGAGCACTGGGCCAGATTTCAGGAATGTGGTCTCCGGTGCTGCTTCTATCCTGATTTATTGAGTGGAAGACACTTTACCACTTTGGGTTTCAATTTCTTCATCAGTCAAGCAAGAGTTTTGGATTAAACAATTCACAAAATCTCCTTCAGCGATAGCATTTGTTCCCCGCCAATGGAAGGAGCAAGATCGTTTTTTACAGTCTCACCATTCAGAGCTTGGGATCCTTGGACCTGCTGGTCTACCAGGAATCAAGAGAATTTGGTTTCCTGGCCGTTTGAGTGTGATGATGAAGTCAGTGTCCGTACAAGTAAGAGAGGGGACCCTGTAGAATTCCTAGAAGGGCTCTTACGCAGCCTACCTCACAGAGAGAGAGTACAGCCCGGTCCTTTCATTGCTGTCCCGCAGCAGGTAGCTCCCGTCACACCCATTGGAGAGGAGAAGGGCCTCGGCCGCGTGCCGCGTGAGGTTGCTGTGGTACCACCTGGGAGGAGAGAGAGGCACTGTCACTTAGGGCCAACGGCAGGGGCTCTTCCTGCACTGGGTTTTCTTCTCTGAAATTACCTCAGCAATGCTGTCCGCACTGCTAGCCCCAAGACCAAATTCTCAGCCAAAACTTATCAAGAGAAGGAAATCGCGGGGTGAGGCTGGAGGGGAGAGGGGAGGGCTGCCTAATAGCAGAGTGTCAGGAATTGAACTGTATCCCCCCAAATGCACACCTCGACGTCCTAATCCCCAGTTCTTCAGAATGTGGCCTTATTTGGAGACAGGGTCTTTAGCAAGTTAGAATGAGGTCATTAGGTGGGGCCTAATGCAATAGGACTGGTGAAAAGAGGACTTTGGAGACGGACTTGCAAATGGGGAGAACACCACACGAACATGAAGACGGCCGTCTGCAAGTCAAAGACAGCGGGCTGGAACGGATCCCCTTCCCAGCCCTCAGGAGGAACCAGCCCTGCTGACACCTTGACTTGGGGCTTCTAGCCTCCAGAACAGTGAGACAGTTTCCTCTGTTTAAGCCACCCATTTTGTGGTACCTTGTCATGGCAGCCCTAGCAAACAGACACACGTTACTTTGTACATAGAAAACTCTTTTTTAAAAAGTCCAAGTCAAAAGTAACCGCAAGAATAGACTTTGGCCATTTTTCTTTCTTTCTTCTGATCTCTCTCTCATATCCTCTTTCTCAAGTGTGGTACCACATTTTGCAGTGTGGAAAACCACCGAGTTATTATACCAGAGCCCACTGTCACAAGGCAAAGGAAGTAGAACAAAAGGAATTCAGACATTTTATACTGAGATGCAAGCCCCATCAAATATTGTTTCAAACTGACAAATATCTGCAGAGCTGGGGAAGTCCCAAGGAGATTCCAATTGATGTATGTGTTTGAAAAAAAACACACGCCAGAAACACATCAGAAAAGGTAACAAATATCCACGGTAGGGAAAAACCCTACATAGTCCAAAGGAAGACAGAATAAAAATAAAGCTTTCTTTCTCCCCCCTTAGTCCTCAGTCGCACTGTTCCTTTCCCCAGAGAGCACCAATGTTAACTGTTTTCCTGCGCTTCCTCCTAGAAGATGTCCTGTGGGTCTGGAGGCATGCCGGCACGTCCTCCACCCCAGTTCTACGGAAATAAGAGCATTCCAGGTGCACTGCTCTGTTCTGCACCTCGCTGCTTTCTCCTAATGACAGCTCTTCCCTGTTCTTTTCAGTGTCTTGATAGGGACAGTCCAGTGTGGTGATTGGGATTGTGGCCCTTGAGTCCCTTTCCAGGTGATTCCTCTTACTAGCTGTGCAACCTTGGGCAAGTTACATAACCAGTCTGAGCCATGGTTTTCTGACCTCTAAAGTAGGATTAATAACAGTCATGTCTCATGGGCCGGCTGGGAGTCCTGCTCACATTAGACACAAGAAACAGTCAAAACAGGCTCAACAACAGCAGAGCTTAAAACACATGAGTAGTTGTCATGAAGCCATTGAGATCTATAAAGTCAAACTTGTGATGTATCCTCTGTGGTGTGATTTTCTTGTTGCTCAAATATAACTTTCCATTACTTTCAATTTATTTCAGATAACAGAAATCTAGGTCCCTGGGGATCATTGCTGCTGCCAGGGGCCCACAATCCAGGGCAGTTGGAGAGGAAGGGGGACACCAGCGATTACATAAATATTGTCACTAATGTCAGTGAACTAAGTACACCTCTTTAGTAAAGGTGTACAAGGACTTTGAGCAAGAGCCCTGCTCTGCGGCTGAGAGGCCCTGCAGTGACGGCCCTATGGAATGATATTTTGTCCTGATAAGAAAAAGTCAACGTAAACCCATCTGTAGAAGGAAATTTATATGTAGGTCTCTTAGCTCTCTGTTTTCTAAATCTACGTTTCCTAATGTCTATCTCTTTAGCATATTTCCTCTTTGAGGTAGAGATGCCTCCATCCTGTGTCAGAAATGGATTTGCTAGCTAAAAGCGATGGCCAAGAAAAACATTTTATAAGAAATCCCACTGAGTTATTTGCCCATTCACTGGACAATTTCCCAAACATGTTCAAATCTTCTCACTACAGAATTCCTTCAGAGGACAGTTGAAACCTAAAACTAATATGGTATATGTCCATTACACCGCAAACTGGAAAAAAAAAAAAAAGAGGACAATTGGAGGAACTAAAAGTGAGGCTGTCAAAAACTTGACGTTAGGTGACAGCCAAAATTCTAATTCATTTTAATGGGTGAAATCTCTACATGGCCACAAGTTCTTAAATACATTTTGCCTGTAATTACTTTGGGGATGAATATTTTAGCATAAGATTCAGTTTGAGCCAATAGACTACTTATTTGTACTTATTTGAAGTGACAAAATTTGATCGACAAAATTTGAAAATGTAAAGGCTTCAGACATTCCTTGGAATTCTTTTTTAAAAATTTTTGGAGGGTCTTTTTTTTTAGGGGGAGGTAACTAGGTTTATATATTTATTTATTTACTAATGGAGGTCCTGGGGATTGAACCCAGGACTTTGTGCATGCTAGGCAGTCACTCTACTACTGAGCTATAACCTCCCTTCCTTGGGATGCTTTTCAATGAGATCTGAAGTCTGTTTAAAGCATTTACAGAATAATGATAGCTTGATGGTAGGGTTTTTAAAAATATATTTTATCCTTTTGTTTATTTATTGTTATACTATTTAATTTTTTTTAATTTTGGCAGAGGGGGTAATTAGGTTTGTTTAATTTTAGAGGAGGTACTGGGGATTGAACCCAGGACTCTGAGCATGCTAAGCATACACTCTACCACTTAAGCTATACCCTCCTCAGCTCAATGCCAGTTTTTATTAAGAACTTTTACTAAGAATTTTTTTATGGTAATCTTTTAAACAGTGACTATTTATCATAAACACATAAGAAATCTTTGAACATAAAGCAAGAAGGATCGCACTGTGCTCTTATTTGGAACATCTCAGGGAGTGTTAATTCCTGGGCGGCGGTTTGGTTGAGTCGGTATTGCCGTCCTGGGTTTCATGGAGATCTGGGTGTGGGCAAACCTAAGTTGGAGCCTGCCCGGCAGCCAGCCATGCTCCATGATGTCTGCGGGGCAACGAGGATCCTCACCCCCCAAACAGCTCCTCTGCAAATGCCTAAACTTCCTCTTTGAATTGAATTAAGCATTCCTCTCCTAGGAACTGTAGGTGAGCACATCTTCCAGGGAAATGATGACAGAACCAATAACGTTATGTATCCTTTGCAGGAGTCTGTCCGCCTTTGGTAAGGATGGTTCCCGATTGTGTCCATAAGGGGAGAAAGGTTGAAAATATAGTAGAGTTCAGTTGATAATTGTCCCATTATCAACCTGCTTTACTTTCTACCATCCAACTTTATAAATCTTTATCAATTAAGCTAAAATCTGAGCAAGGCACGATATTAGGCAGGTCAAATGGAACTAAAGCCCACGCTGGGCTTCAAGAAACCATTACTCTAGTCAGGAGGATAAGGTAAATACTTTGCAAACTACATCCAAGAGACAGTAAAGTATCCAGTGAGGGTTCCAGGAAGAAAGATCAAGACCATTTTTTTTGACTTGAAAGACATGTAAGTTACTTTTTAAAGTGTGCACAATTTTTGTGATTGTAAAGTATATGTAGTAAAAATTAAAATATATACACATACAAAAGAAAGTGAAAATCTTTCACAGAAGAGGAAATATGCATTTCAAATAAACAGTCTCACTACTATTCAGAGAAATGCAAATTAAAGCAACAGTGTAATATATATATTATATATTTTTAATCCACCAGATTAGCTAAAATTGAAGGGTTAGTATTAAGTATTGGAAAATTTGGGGGCCGTAGATATTGTCAACTGTTGGCAGGTGTTTAAGTTGGAGGGGAATTTCAACTCATCTGATGTAACTGGACGTGCACACGTCACCAGTGACTCCACTTCTGGGTCTGACTAGTAAAACACTTACCCATACAGAGAAGGAAGTATGAATGAAGATGTTTACTACAAACTGTGAGAATAAAAATTTGGAGCCATCCTGAATATCCATCAACAGTGAGATGATAAAGTCAGGTGCTACTAAAATGAGATTATATAAAAAGTTAACCAAACACGTCCTAGGATGAGGAGATTATGTAAAAAGTTAACCAAAAGCGTTTGAAAAGGTGAGAGCATTTTTGGTTGCCAAATGCTGAGGGCAAGGGGTTGGATGCTACCAGCACTTTGTGAGGGAGTGCCAGGAATGCTTAACATCCGTAGAGACTGATGCAATCCTGAACAACCGACAGCTGTCCCACTCAGCATGCCAGCTGCACCCCCACGGAGATACACCCATTACACACATGTCAAAGTTGATAGACCCCAAAATGTATCGTTAAGTTAGCAGAACTGGTGACAGGTACAGTATGATGCCACTTAGCTTTAAAAAGTCTATCTCATTCCCCCAAACAATACAACATATACACATACAAAAATATATAAAAGCATGAAATAGAAGTCTGAAAAAAATGCACACCAAACTGATAAGTCTGGTCCTTAATGGAAGGAACTAGGATAGGATTTAGCGTGATCAAATTTCCCCAATCTGCCTTACTCAAATGTAAAAAAATAAAACAAAATACATTCATATATTAACTGCATAACTAAAATTTGAAAAAAGAAAACAATATTTCTACCTGAATTCAACCTCCAGCACCCTGTTAATAATTTGCTTTATTTAATTATTTTATTTAGGGGGTAGAATATAGCTCAGTGGTAGAGCTCACATGCTTAGCATGCATGAGGTCTTAGATTCAAGCCCCAGTGCCTCTGTTAAAAATACATGAATAAACTTAATCCCCCTCCCCACAAAAATAAATTAAAAAAATATAAAATCAAATAAAGGAAGCTGTTAAAATTGTTTAAAAAGGAAAACTTTTTAAGGAAATGTGTTCCACTATAAAAAATCATTTTATTTTAATTTACTTATTCAATTGCTGTTTATTGAACACTGGAC